GGCTGGGACCCTGGGAAGAGTTAGTGCCCTCTACTGCACAAACTGGTCCTACAGGAAATAAATTCCCTTCATTTTTTCAAGGGGGTTCCTGTGCCTATCGGATTGTTAGTTTACAGGGCTTGTTGATATATAGGGAGCTTATAAGTACAAATAGGTCCTCTTGGTGGTATGCAATAACATAAAATAGTACAGAGATCTGAAAGCAAAAATGTCAATATGATGATACAAATGAAAATTAAAAAGCTGATGTTATGATCTGTGTAAAGTGGAGGTGACTGCATTTGCGCTCCTGGGCCGTGTTTTAAAGCCAAGCCTGGTAGAGGCAGGGCTGGAACAAGGCATGTCTTCAGACTTCCCTCTCCTTTCAGCAAGGCCCTGCTGAACAGGGGAGTCATAGCTACAAGTGCTCAGTGCCCCAATGAAAAATGGTTTGGGACTGAAGGGAGCAGAGTAGTACCACTGATTTTGATGGTGTGGGAGAAGCGAGGGGAAGATCAGCAGTGCTAAGCCTCTTTTCAGGGTGCAGTGCCAAAGCGGGTGTATTAGGCGTAGCCAGCTGAAAAGGGCTGTAGGATTGGGGCCTGAAGCTTGAGGTCACTGAGGATGAGGTGGTGTGGTAGTGGTGGTGGCATTCATCATCATAAACTGCGAAAACATCAGAATGACAACGCATGCATCATCCCATGAAGGGCACAACTTAGTACTTCCATTGTAATGTCTGATGAAGGTATAAAAGTTTCATTCTTTGCATCATGCTGTTACGACACCTATGTTGCCATTCCCCCCGCCCCCGCAAACACCACTGAGGTGGCCATGTGGGTTGTGGACATCAGAGTACATTGGAGACTCGCTTGCGTGTTGCCAAGCTGTAAGCAACATCTTCCATAACCTGTTAGGATCCCAGCATGATCTTTTCAAGCCTTCTTTGACATTCAGAGCAAAGCAAAACAAAATACCTCTTCTGCTTTCAGGATAAGACCTTCCGGATTTGGCGGATGACAGAAGATGGCGAGGTTTTCTGCGTGGCTCAAGGGCTGGGCCATACGCAGCAAGTGGGTGCCCTTGCGTGTTCCAAGTAAGAGAAGTGCTCCCTCCTTCTCATCTGCCTTTGAGAACAGCCACAGTCCCTTGTGCATGGTGGCTGGGGTTCCTCAGAGCCTTTTCTTTCCTCAGGATGGGGTGAGGGCACGGTTCAGGTGGCACGTGGCCCATGTTTTATTAATTCAAGGAAGCTGCTTCACACTGTGACTAGGATTGGGACATAGCCACCTGTCCGTGCTTATGATCCCAAACTGTCAAGCATTCCATCACCCTGGAAATGCCAGTAAAGAGGCAGTAGCTTCTCCTTTGGCACACGCTATATTAGACCTCATAATTCTTAAACAGAGTCTTCCACTAGAACAGAGCCTTAAAGACCTGGCTCTTCACCCAGGCCTTTGGAGAAGACAATTGATGCCCCTTTCTTCCGTTCTGTTCCCCTCTGGGTTTATTTTCTTTGCCATCATTGTTCCTTTGTCTTGTGCTGTCTTCATGTTTTTTGTATTCTCTGTTTTCTAAACGTTTTAACAATTGTAAACCTCCCAGAGTCGCTGGGAGTGAGGCGGCATATAAATTTAATAAATAATAATAATTATATTGCTGCTTGCACATTCAGCCAGATGTTTAGAGTGGATTTGGCATCCAAGGTGCCTATTAATATTGGTACTTTCTTTGCTTT